TTACCTTTTTGGCAGAGTATTTACTAAATTCAATTAATGTCTCTTGTTCATGAAACTTTTGCAGGGACGGCTTTTCGAGGCAAAGATTGGGTCAGGCCTCATTTGTTTGCTCCTCATCCTTCGGGTGCCTAGAAAATGACAGAAACTCCCATTATTAAAAATATCTATGTCTTCATTTCATTGATACTGACCACCAAAAATATCTGTTTACCGAATCAAAGCAAACACATAAATATTGGGGATGTCGCACCCCCGAACCCCCCGGTACGTCCGCCCTTACCCTGAGTACCAGACTCACTACATATAAAATAAAATAGAGAGTACCAGACTCTATTATTTTATATAGTGAGTCTGGTACCCAGGGTAGTCCGCCCTGATCTTCTTTGCTCCTTACATTTGCATGTTCTCTACACTTCACATGTTGTGAATGCAGACTCGCGTGATCATGCTGGATGCGTTCTATATCGGTTGCTTCAATTTGTTACTCAAAGTACTTAAAATAGAAAGGGGGATTATCACCCAGTAACCGCTCTCTTTAGCACCTATTTTGCTCGCTATTCTTTATATTTCTTTGACCTGTCTAATTGCCATGGAGAAGGATGCCTGCAATCAAGGTGGGCTAAGGTTGTGAAGCGTCAAGAAAGTGAGGAAAACAAAAGCAAAATCAAGAAAAAATAGGCCTAGCCAACTTTCGCAAAGACAGGGGGACGATGTTGGGCTTGTCTAGCAAACAAAATTTATTTATTCAAGATAACAACCACTAAATTGAGAAATTGAGTATAAATCAATAAAATGTTACATTTAGACATAGTCAATATGATTTAGACAATGTTTTATTGCATTGGTTGTTTAGGCATACAAGGCAGGTGTTATTTTTGTAAAAACATTGGCAAGAGATAAACCCTAATGTGAATATGTATCAATGTATTTAATAAAAATGAGCTTGCAGATGTATATTCTCAACAACAATGTTATAAATTACAATATTCATGATTTCAATGTTTTTGACAGGTCATGCAAATAATTGAAAAGCAGAAGCAAACACTATTGATGATAGAAGCAAACAAGCAAACATTATTGTTTCTTATGTTATGGTGAAGATAATGTTATTTTTTATTACCAACATGTCACTTGGTTTTGATAACGATCAAAATTGTGGTGAAAATTAAAAGAATTATGGTGAAAATAAAAAGCCAAGATATGGGGGATCGTGGATTGACCTCAGGATCACCTGTTGAATCCTCAAATGGTTCCGCCTGATTAGATATGTTTGCAGCAGTGTAAAGTTTTCATCTCAAATAATCTGCGTTCTCGTCTAATGCTTGAACGATTTTTGTATTTACTCGACAAACTCTGCCAACAATTTGTCCCTCCTCTCTTGTGAATCCTATTTTTTTAACACCAAAGGTCTAATTTGCAGGTTCTGAAGACGATAATCTGATGTTTGTCTTGTTCAGTTATTAATGTGTCAGCCCATTCTCCAATTGGCTACGCTGTGAATGACCCATTGAGAAGTTAATTTGAATGACATCCTCTGTCGCCTCACAAGTCTTTGCAGTTGCTCTCCGTGACAGAAATCATCCGTAGAAGAGTAGAAGGTAGTCGTTGCCCCGAAGATTATAGTCGATATTCAGATCAAAATGGTGAGTAGAGTTTTTCTCTGTTTTTTGATATCAGTTTAAGGACTGTTATGTCTCTCATTAACTTTTACTGCGATGAGCCATTATAAAGTGCCCACGTGAGCATTCATGCTGCCTTAACTTTGAATCGCTTTACAAACATTTACGTTAGTTTCGTAAGTCCGAGTTATTTATTCACGGTTTGTGTATTTATGTTACAGTATGTAAACGAGGGATGCCTTTGCGGGATCTTAATCAAAATGTTTGATTCATGCATTAAGCTTGTCACGTTGCGTTACGTATGTGCTGTATCCAGAAATATATTTGCCACCTGTGTAGGCTGTTTCCTTCCTCCGACATTACGGTTCCTACGCTATCGAACATGGTTGAAATCTTCACCATCATTAACATCTCAGAGTGAATCTTATTTGAATAAACGTTGTGTATTCATAAATTATGCTATTATTTGTTCTCTTTCAGCAGATTAAACACTCTCGCCATACTTTGCCGGGTTGAGTTGTGTTAGCCCAAGTTTTGTTGATCTTGGCCCATTTTTAAATGCCTTCACACAGGCAACTATACTGCAGAAGTTTTTTCAAGTGTTTTTTGCTGTCTTTTTCATTTCATGTAGGAATGTACCTTGATGACGATTGACGCCCACCTTGCGTATAATTTATTGTTCTCGTGTAACGCGATTTGACTAGATGCAGAAAGACCCTTGCATAATTTTAACAGACACCCAATACAATCGGATTCAAGGAACGGCTTTTACATTACCTAAGTTAATGTTTGACAAGATCATGCACGGTTAAGTTAGTTCTCAACCGAGCACAACAAATCTTCTTTACAACAGACAGTTTTACTTCCAAGGATATTGCAATTGGATGAAGTATCTTCTACCTTTTTCATTCAGCCGTGCAGATCATTTTACAATTAACTCGAGCTCCTTTTTGGTAACTAATTGGATGAGATTTACCACAGTTTACAGTCTGCCGCTTGTCTCTTACATGACTTAGGCAGTGGCAATGAAAGAAACCTAAATTGGAGATGAAATTTAACAGTGTTGATTTCTAAGCCTTTTTCAGATTTAAATGGTTAAATTGTGATGTTTCTGCTGGTCGACTAAGTGATTGTCCACTGAACCTAAATTTATTCATCAAAATTTTGTAAACAAAGTGAATTTTGATGTCCCATCCCAATTGTGGTTGTTTTTGTCAGATTCTTAATGTTTTCATTTAGGATCATTCCACATACATTTATGGTGTCAGGTATCCAAATAGAGTTTTCGTTGGCGGATTGCCACGTGAGGTAAGAGCCAATATTTCATCATTCGATTTGCTTTTTAATTCGGTAGAATAGCCATTCTCGAGGACCTGATTTCTCTCATTCAAAGCTACCGCCTGGAATTGACCTGTCGTCATAGAATTGTTTCATTAGAGTGCCAATTAAACCTCGTCACGTGTGAAGGATGCTTGTTGTCAGCAATCCTCCGTTGAGCCGGAGGACTTTGTTATTCGTGTCGCATCATTTACTATGGTAGCATGAACCCTCGAACCAGTCTAAGGTTTTCATTTCTCAGGAAGACATTTTAAAAACAAGCTTTCATTTTTTTCAGGCCATTTTAAAATTTTGTACCACCAAAAGATTGTGTTCATTTCTTTTTATTAGATGCCTTACTCTATATTAAAGTGCTCTACTCTTTAAAATGTCCTATATGTTTTTCAACATTCCCCAATTACCCCCCCCCCCCTCCACTCAATTATACCTGCCACACATGGGTGAAGTACTATGAAAAGAACAGTACACTGGCGCCTCTACGAAAAATGTCCTGAAACCAAAAGAAAAGGTGCAAACGGACAATTTCCGGGATTAGCAAAAGGGCTTAGCCCCCTATTAGGCCCCTTTACCCCCAGCTTTAAATTTCTGTATTCACTCCAATTATTCTGGAATCAAATTAAACAAGCCAATAAATTTTTATAATATAGTAATGAAAATGGCTGGATGAGCAGGCAGATCGAGTCACGTGGCTGCTCGATATGTACAATCCAAAAAGAGCGTAGTAGATGTGTTGAAGTGCATATGACGTCATCAAAGCATTTGTTATCGTTTTTAACTTGGAGCAAATATTCTGAATAAGAATCCTGCTCCTGTTTATCTTGAAGGTGACTTGTAAAATGCCTAAAGACGTAAACGTCTCGGTGCTTATCATGACAATGAAGCTGTTGCATTGACTTCTGTTGAAGAATTCGAAAAGAATTGTGTTTTGCTGATGCAGTTTTTTCCAAAGTTAATTAAGGTACTCTGGCGAATAATCTCTTGGCCATTGAGAGTCGAGCAAGTCATTAGCCCTAATTTGCACTTGATATTGATTCTCATTGATATTGATTCTGCAATCGACTTGAGAATCCAATCACCATTAGATCAAGAATTTTCCGTTGTCGTCAGTAAACATAGAATACAACCCTTTCTAATGCGATTTGCCTGTGTTTTATATAACCTATACAGATAACAAAGATTTGATATGTATTAATTACAGATTACGTGAAACTAAATGTATTTTGATTATTTTTTGTTTTATTCTTTAGTTTGTGTGTTTATTATAGAACAAAGTCTATTTCCCGTCCATTGTTCGCCTGATCTTTTGCCCGTCTCTGGCATTCATCAAGCGAGTCCTAAATTGAATGTTGAATTTGAACAAAACGGGCTTAAGAATGAATTGTGTTTTCTAAGAAAAATGTTTTTGCAATTTTTTCTACAAGTAGTGGTTGAAGATAACTACTAAGACGATGATTAAGACGATAAGTGTGTACAAGAAAAATACAAAGCACTCGAAAATTGGATTTCCAGATGTAATTTGCGCCTATGTTTTCTTCTCAGAGATGGTCATCAAAATCTGTACTCTGTACATGTGTGCAGGGTCCTTCACCAGGGATCAGTTTCATGTGTAGAAAAGCTCCTATTCGCATTTAAATTTGTAAAAAATGCGCGGAGCGTAAAAATGTCAAAGACGAATGTGGCGAATTTTGGACTGCTTTTTAGGATGTTGCTTGCCGAAATTTCTCCTTTTTATGTGTCCTTGTTTTCCCAGCGAAAGTTAATTAGTGACAAGATAATCTTTGCTGTTCTCAAAGATTTTTTGGGAGAGACTTGAATATCTCTAGCAAGCTGGTAGCGAGTTGGTCACCATGGTAATAAGTTGAAATTGAATAATTTGGTATTTGTCCAGACGTTTTCCTCACCAACAGGAACGGTTTAGCGAGGGGGTGTGACACCCCCTATATTTCTTTGTTCTTGTGTTCTTCAGTAAATTTTGCTTCCTTCCATTCTGTAAAAACATTAAATTAAGCAAAATCATTTTATGGGTTGCTCTTCAAGGCAAAAAAAATTGAACCATTGCAAATTTCACTTTCTAAGTGTACATGCAAATTGCAGACACAAATCCAGAAAAAGCTACGTAATGTTAGTGCTAGGTAGTTTTAATTTTGAGGAAACCAAGATAATTTTTGAAGTTTTCCCTGATTATTTTCAGACAACTGCAACTGATCTGGCCAGTTTTTTCAGTAAATTTGGTCGAGTAACAGAGTCGAAAGTTATTTTGAACGAGGATGGCACATCTAAGGGGTGAGTAATCTTATTCCTATTTTTTCTTAGTTTATCAAATGCAGTTAATAAGGAAGTTTAGTTAAATAGTTGATTAGGAAGTTTACTGGAATATTCGAAAAGTGGTTTCTGGACAAGCTCAAACAGCAAAAAAATAAATTGTGGACCTGTTGTTTTCCTGTCTACATATTTATAATTCTTGCATCTTGCTACCCATTTCTAAAATATGTTTACTTAGAATCTATAGTGCTATCAGCTTTTGATATAGTATCAATAATATGTTTATATTAAGAAGCTACTATCGGTCTTTTGAGCAGCAACAATTAAGCAGCTTTTTCAACTGTAATGGTGAATTGTTGGTTATACAGTTTTTACTTTCTTGCAGCTATGGATTCATAACTTTTGCCACTTCAGAGGATGTTGCTGGTGTGTTTGGACAGGTTTGTTAGATTACAGTATTTAAAAGCCATTCTCTTAGGTTATTTTCATCAGAACTAAAAAAGCATTTAAATGATAATCATCATTACAAGTATGATGATGATTGACACAAAACCACTGGCTAATAGTGATGTGTCAGGCCTGTCCAGAAAATAGGTAGACACTCTACATCCCTATGACCACTGGAAAGCAAAAGACAGTAAATTAAGAAATAGCATTTTAAGTGGTAAAAATCATCTTTGGAAAAGATATTGTATTTTCTCACTTCTTGAACAAGGGTTTATGTTATTGTTTTATTTTCAGGGTGTGATATTTTATAAACAGAAGAAACTTAATCTTGGCCCTGCAATTAGAAAACAGGTATGAAAATACATCGAAAGCTTCCCGGAATGAAATAATTTGTTTATTTAAAAAAACGTTTTGACTCTTTTCCTTGTACTGGCAGCTCTATTTAGTCAAGGCTATTAAAAGGAAGTTCCAGTCCTAGAGTCATTCAGAAAATCAGAATCTTCATTAGACCCTGAAGAGGCTTGTCAACACTCCAAAAGAAAATCTTTTGTCATCTTGTCGCTTAGAACTTAGAAGATGCCCTTCTGTTCTTTTGAATCAAGGAGATCTTTTCTAAGTTTAATATTTCATTCATTGCAATAAAACAGTTCTTGGCTACAGCCAACTTTGTGCAACTGCTATAACAGCTAAACGGTTAATTCCGCAAAAAACTTTTTTCAGGCACCAGAAACACCAGGGGAACCAATCTACATGTTAAATTTACCAGCACAAACTCAAATATCTGGATCCCCACCACCCAAAATGCAGCCTAGTCCTCCAGCATTGCCTCCTCCTTGTCGCCAAAATTCACGAAGTCCTACATTAGCAGCATTGCCTGCACCTCCAGCAAATGCCCGGAATCTTCCAATCCCACAAGCAGCACTAACGTTTCCACAGCACTGCTACCAATCAATATCAATGGTAAGTGTTTAAACTAAAAGTTGTTTACAAAATAAAATGGGAGGCTTCATCTCCTTTTTAACATTTTTATACCTTAGTTTTGCCTGTAGAACAAGCCCAGCAAAAACGGTCCTGTCCACACCCTTTTACGCCACTGACCACACCCAAATTTCATCATGAAACAAAACTTTGTTGTGTTATCTTATTTTTGCATGAATTTGTGCCGTTTTAAATCAATATGATAGAATGAGCAGCAAAATACCCATAATCAATAATTCCTTAAAAAAGTTAGTTTATTAAAATTTGAGCTTTTTCACTTTCCTCTTAGAATGTTAGGGTATTCACTGAATACCTTCAATACCACTTGTGATAATAAACACCTTGACAGGATGTCACCCTCTTAATGGATAGCGAAGAGTGATAAACACCTCAACAAGATAAATATATAGGTCAAAATGACCCAATTTTCCCCATTCTTTTTTCCAAGACTATTCAAATTTCCAAGACCACTTTAAGTGACCAATTCAACTCTAAGTTAGGCACTTCCTCCTATTTAGAATCTGCCCCTCAAAGTCATGATCCACCTGGTATCTCCAAGTCATGATATTATCCATTTATTGCTTTCTACTATTAAAATATGCAAACTACAAAGTTATTTTACCTTTTTATTTACCTTTATACCTTATTCAGATGCTTTGAACGATCAAATTTGGTAAGCAAGAAGGTCACTAGTCTATTTTTTATTTTAAAATACGTCCCCTCTTTTCTTTGCCCCTCCTCCTGTAAAAGTTCCCCTCTCAAATGGGAAGAATTTAATTAGCTACCTGGAGCTTTAATTTGAATTTCATGGTAACAATTTTTTGTGATATTTCTCTTAATGGAATGGCCCAGTGCCTTAAAACTGATGTGTCATAACATCTAGTCTTGCAACAAAAACAAGTATACATACAAGTTGGTCATTGTGTTCACTTAAAAGCCAAATCACAGCCACTTATTTTCCCACACTAATGGGTTTGCGGAAACAATGCCCTAATGTCAGCAGTTATGTGTTAGGGAAGCAATGAATGGAATCAAATATTTTAGGGCATGTCGATTATCCGTCATTGTTTCCGTTAATGATCCTTTATTTGTTGGCTTTCAATAAAGGCTCCTTCCATCTAACTGTGAAAAGTGTCTGGGATGATTGTGTAATGGCCTTCTTGATCATCAAACACAAACACAAATCCAGTGTGGATGGCTAGAGCTTAAGGTTTTCCTTAGATTCTGGTCAAAAATGTTTAGTGCTGTTTAGCAAATGTTTGGTTGTTTTGCCACCAATTAAACATTTGCTGTGCTAGTGCAGGCGCCTTGGCTGTGGGAATCCAAGGTTTTCCAGGGTTTTTCTTGGTTTTTCCTGTCTCTACGTGACCCAAAATCTCTAAAATGCTTTCATGAAACATTTTCTTCATCTCCATGTGGGCTTCTGTGTCTTCATCAACAGTCAACTTTGTTATCAATATGCTAAAAATGTTTTCTTTCCCCTTCTTCTATCAAATTCTTATTTTTACCCACTTTTGCGTTTTAAGTATTTTATGCTAACATACAACAAAACAAACAGAAAGCAAATTCCTATGCAAAGTCCCCTACAACCCCACAGCTGCCTACACAGGTCACAGTTCAAAAACTTTCAGAAAAGTTTAATGAAAAGTTTATTCATGTTTTGCCACCCTCGCTAAACTTTGCTCAACTTCACTAAACATATGTCTAGTAAAATGTTTAGTCATTTTGCCAAATTTCCGAAATTTCCCAAAGAATTTGTCGTTTTTAGGAGTTTGTGTTCCCAAGCCGCTATGCTGAGGGACAGGAGATTCATAAGGCAGCCCAAGTAGACATAGAATGCACTCATTCTTCGTGCATCAAAATGGGGAATGAATTTTGCTGATTTTAGTATTAAATTTTTAAAAAATTTATTGAATACCAAAGTGTTCAAGAGATAATCTTTAGATTGAAAAACAGCAGACATAAATGCAGGGTTCACTAAAGGAGATTTCAACATAACATTAAGCAAAAGACATGATCAGTAGGAAGGTCTTATTCTATTATACTTTTGTCAATTGAATGAAAAATAGGTTCCTGAATTCCATTTTTCTTCAATGAAAAGAAATTTGACATAGATTATAAACAACTTTAACAACCAATTAGATCTACAATTTCATATTCATCTTTTGTGACATTTTGTGTTTATAAAAGTGCTTCTTACTACCTTTCAATAACTTTAAGAGCTAAAATCCCTAAAAAATTGATAAAATGCAATGAATGTTGCCTTTAAGGGGGATTGTGACTCTCCCAGCCTTAATGTCTACTTTGCCTAAGAAACCAGAAACTAATATTGAGCTTATGTTCCTCATGAAAAATGCCAATGCATGATCTCAAATTACAACTTCACTTTGGTCATTGCTCTTTAACTAAATTGTATGGCTTTATTGAGATCATTTTAACCAAATAAAGTTAGAAGACCTGTGAGGGATTTGACTTTTCTTAGTGAGTTTCCACCCAAGTCATTTATGACAATCAATATCTTATAAAATTATACCAATACGAGATTGCCGTAAGGTCTTGCACCAGCATAATGCAAACAAAAAGGAAAATTAAAATAATTGTTGTTAATTGAAGGAAAATTTCTCAGAACAAGGCTATAAATCAAGACAGTGAATTCTCTCGTGTCTTTTGACAAATGCACATACTTGAATAGGGGAGGTTGGTAGGTGTTTAGTATACATGCATTCTACCAAACCTATTTCAAAGGGTTTGTCTCAATAGCTACTTCCAACAGCTCAGGGGAGTCCACATTAAATTTATGTTAATATGTCTGAGCTGAATTAAAGTTCAGGGGTTAGGGGGAAAAGGAAAGCATGTGTTCCTTCCTTTTCAATGCAAGTCTGTCTACACAAAGCCTGATTTCACCCAAAAATAGAGCCAAAGCCACCCTGCCTTAAAATCATGATTGCGTTTTATTTTAGTTATTGATAAAGAATTTCAATAAAAGATCCAATATTCCCAGGTGCTCCACCCAAATTTGGGGTTTCAAAAAGAGATTCAGAAAAACTTGACAATGAGATTGAAAGTTTTGTTATAATCACATTTTTTCATTAGCAAATTTAACAGCTATAAGATATAAGATATTAAAGCATTGATATTACAGGCAGTGTGTCTCTACTAGTAGCATGCTTCAAGGGGGTTTATCTCTATCTATACCAATCAGCAAACAATCCTGGGAGTGCAACTACAGTCTGTAATTGCACACTGCCTTTGAAACCGCTCATATTTTATAGTGACAGGTAACATTTGTACCCTTTTATGTCAGGTAGAATGGGATTCTAATCTCAGATTTGAAAACATTTCACTTATGAACAATTTATTATTATCATAGAATAACAGCTGTTTTGTTCTACAAGGAGCTAGATAAATACCTATCCAAGTTTTGCCAAAAAAGTAGGACACTAGCTTCTATTTGCTGAAATGAAAGCCAAATGAAAGCCAAATTCACCATGCTTACATTTCACTGCGAAGCAGATAGCGGGCTACTTGTTTATAATATCTTGTGTTTCCTGTAATGATAATGCTGTACCCATAGAATTAGTCAAAGTACCATATTCCCAGATTCTAAGGTTTTCATTCTTCTCAACCTCTCAAAAAGGGTGTGAATAAGAAGCCTCCAAGCTGTCAAAATTTTATTGCAATTTTCATTGGTCTTTAGAATGAATGGTGTATAAAACTTCTAAACTAGAGATGATCCGTTTTTTGTAGATGTTGTTTAAAATCTTGTTTAAAATCAGTGTTGGCAGGGAGGGGGCATTTCTTCAGCCAAGAGGAAGTTTTAAGCAGGGGCATCAAGCTTGTTTTGAGGCATGCTGCCAAATGGCTTTACAATTCAATAAGATAATATTTTGTCATTCTCGCAGGTAGACATATATCCACAAGCTTTACCATTTGCACAAAATTTCCAATGGGTAAGTTTCTTCTGCTTTAGCTAATTACCTTGATAATGAGAGCAATCAGTCTTTCTCCTTTATCCAAAGTTTTTTTCACTAATTGGGTGCTTCTGTTTTGTAGAAGATAGGTACCTGTATTATGTACAATGCTCTGCAGATATTTTTATGCCTATATAACAAACAAATCTGTAAACTTCGCAGAGACTGGTCATTTACGGATGCTGTGCCATTCTTGAAACAATAAAGCCAATAAATCTATTGTTTGGCTGCAATAGACAGCCTACTTTACCCTTTACCCAACATGTTGTAATGATTTGGTAATTATTTTTAACACCCAACAAGATATTCTTGCATAGCACCTTACAAAAATGTTTCATTAATTCGCAAGTCACATCCATCTTCCAATAGTTGGATGGCTATGCATGCTATGTTGAATGTGTCATCTATACCACTATGGGGCCTGCCCTGAAATTTCATGCCTAGATAATCCAGCATGCCCTCTAAGTTCACTTTGTCTGTTTTATAGTAGTTTCTAAAGTGTTTGCGGATATTTATCCACCTATTGGAGTAATATGGCATCTCCAATTTGCTCTGCTTGCATTGAACTTTTAGGAATTTCGCTATGTCCCATGGTCTGCAACAAAAAGTAGAGAATTTGTTTAAAAAAATACTGAACATGTTATCTTGCAGAGAAAGACTCTCTTCATTTAATCTAAGGGTGCTTGAACTAGACAAGAAATACAAACTAATTGTGTTTTCTTGTACTCTACCAAAATAAGTTTGATTGTCCAATCCAGTACTTTTTCTGTCCATTGTCTCATATTTTACATATCAAGCATCTAATTAGCAAAATTGACTATTCTTGTGAAGAGGAAAGGTTTATTTTCATAACTAGACAGTTGCTTTTGTCTGGACAGTTGCATGAAACTTTTGCAAGTCACTCTTAACTGTTACTGTTGTTGTTTTCTCTTCTAGTTTCCAACACTGGCTTGATGTTAATTAGTCAGCATTTAAAAACTGAATTGAAAACTGTGGTTCCATACTGAGTCAAAAAAGATGAGAGATTCAAGAAATAAGCAACAATGTTGCCATTTCTTTGCACAAGTTAACAATTTGACTGTGATATATTATGGTCCTTCATTAGGAGCATATGGGCACTGGTTACTGCATATGCTTCTTCAGTCATAAATGTAACGCTAAAATAGCTTGTAAATTTATTTTATTTTAGATGTCTGTGACCAATTCAGAAATAATGGTGGGATCAACAACCCAAACTTTGAGGCAAGATTTTTGTACTTAATTTCAACTCGATTGAAACACACAGCAGAAAATGAAAAGAATTATCATATATCTTAAACTATCCAAAATGATCTGCTTACAGAATTGAAGTACAGTTTTGAGCTGTATAGTTCCTTTAATGAATCTTTAAATTTGAGGGCCAATAATTGCCTGTTGTAAATTATATCAAACCACTTTTCTCAAAGTCAATGGCTTAAAGATTCTGGGAAAAAAACAAAAGCTGAAAGTGCTGATTTTATAAATTTTAATGAAACTGACAAAGTAATGTAGATAAACAATTGCTAAAGTTATTGGGAAAATTTTTAATCAATTTGAAGAGTAAAAGTATAAAAGTTACAATATTAGTGCTAGAAAAATTGGCCAAAACCTGAATGCTGGGAATGTTTTTCCACCTAGAAAAGCTGATGATTGTGCCAAGCGTGTATCCAAATATCTGAACAGATGCTAATTGTTTGAGCTAATATGCCAGGCACTAATTACACCTATATCATCAGCTTCTTGATTTAGTTGCTCTTTCTTAGTTTTTAGTTTAGCAATAGTTTTCCATAATAGAATATAGTATTACTGGTAATCAATTGACTAATATTTTGGCAGCTTTTGATGTAAGCATGTAAAACAGTAAATTCATTACAATATGCATTGTAAAATTGTGTTCCTTTAAATATTAGAAAGAAAAACAGAGGTGTGTAGAAGCTGTTTGTCCAGGAGACATATTACTGCTTTTTGGATTACAAAAATTTTTTGGAAAATTTTTTCACATAAAGACTATTGTAGAACTACTTCAATTAGGAATACCTCAACCATGCTTGATGATTTTGTTAGGCTTGGTAGATTGACTCTAGCATATCAGTTTCAACAAGCAGTCATTGTTTTTTATTCTACACACCTTTGTAACACTTTGGTTAACAAATTTTGTTATTTTATGTAAGATTAAACTTGGTTAACCTTAACTTGGTTAGTAATGGGATCATAGCATAAATCATCAATAGAAAGACATTATCAGGAAAATTTAAAACCATAGTATGCTTTATATCAGAGTATACATGTTAGTTGCCTTTTCAAACAAAAACAGACCAATGCATGGATGTTTTGCCATAGCCAGCAAATTCTGTATATATTTTTACTCAATTTTCATGCATTGTATTTAAAGCCAGTGAGGGAACAAACCTTCAACAGTGAATACATTTGAAGAGCAAAATAAAAGTATTTTTGAATGCTCATCTTGAAAAGAAACACTATATGCTCAAAAGAAATGTTGCTAATGCCTTGGTTCCCAGCTATTTTGTTCCTTAATTATGCTCATTAATCTAAACTACCTTTAATCCTAATTATCCTTTAATTATTTCATTATTAGACTTTAATTTATATAGCAATGCATTTTTAATTAGTATTATAAAATTATTTTGTGATGGTATAGTACAACTTAAAATCATTTTGTTTTTGTCACTGAGTCAGTCTTTTTTACTTTCCTCTATATTGCAAAGAACTGTTAAATCAAGACACTGCTCGATTTTAAAAAATGTGTAAACTCCTCAGTTGGCTGTTCAATTATAGGGAGCACCAATGCTATTGGCCTGGACTTTTCCTTGCTTGATGTCAAGAAATGCCTCCATAGGTGCCACTTTTAGAGAGAGTATGTTACTGTAGCAATATTCTGAACAAGATGCAGAGGCTTAAAATGCTCATCAAATTAACATTCTTTAATAACTTACCCATCTGTTAAAATTGCAAATGTGCTGCCAGGTGCAATTGCTGTTTTGACCCATTCATCAAATCTTCTCAGAACTGTTGGGAATCTAGGTGCACTTTCAACCATAATCTGGAATATATGTGATGATGTAAGATGCAATGTGCGCAATAAAGTTTGTTTTTATTCTAAGTTTGAAACAACAATTAAGAGAGATGATGTACTGAAACTCTCTCTGATAACTTTCACCATTTTCAATACCGTTACTTGGTGAGTTTGGGTAGGTAGCAATATTGGGCAATTTCTTCTCAAAATGGCAACATGAGCAGTTAAATTTATTCAAAATTTGTAAGACTTGAGTACCTGTGTTATGCCAGTGAGGTCTTTACAGAAGTTTGTCAGCTGACTGTTAATAGTTGGTCTGCAGTATGAATGGAACTGACAAACCTATGGAAGAAGAATCTTGTAAGATTTGATCAACACAAGCTGTAACGTTAGCTCTATATAAAAAATAGCAGTTGAATTTGATGTGATTTGCACCAAGCTATAGTTAGTTGATGAGTAGAATCAAAAATGATAATTTCAAGTGACTTGGGGATAATGGTTCCTAAAGCCCCGTGAGTTTCCAATCCACTGAATGATTATAATGAAGGGCTTAAATTATTTCTTTGTAAATTTTATGTTTGGTTTTGATAAAACCAAAACTTAACCAATGCGTTACAAACTTAAACAAAAATTTCGAGCCATTTCCAGCTGTTGATTTTTCCTTGCATTCTTTGTGCAACCACTATGGAGGTATCCTTTCAAAATCTGAGAACATTTAAATAGAGATATACTTGAACATACTATTTGTCTTGTGTGAACATCAACCAAAACTGCTGGAAATTCGATTATTTCTTGTATAAAATTTGGAGGATTGTCTTTTTCACAGGTCGCTTCAAAATCTATAACAATGATAAAATCTATTGGATTTTGTGTCTGATTCATATTTGCTTCTCTCAGCTCTCTTGCTTTTAACCAGTTCTTGAGTCTTTTAGAGACTACTTCATGCGATCCCCTACAATAGATGCAAAATTTAAAGAAAAAATATTTCATGCAGCCGATCTTTTAGACAGATTACTCTTAGATTTTGACATATGCAAAGCAAAGCTCTAAACAAATTTTAGGAAAGGCCTAAGTAAGCTTTTCGTTATTCTAGAAAAGCTAAGAAGGGCGTTTTTCAATGTTGCCCCTTCTCGAAATTTTAGAGAAATAAAAACTTTGTTTCCAATCTTTAGTTATGATCCTGTGATCTGTGCTGCACAGTTTCACTATGCGTCTACTTGCGTCGGGATCTCTAGGAGCGATACAGGAATTCGTGTGACGATACTTGGACATAAATTTTTGTGCACGGGGGTACTCTTCAGACAAGAGCAAGGGTGGTTTCAATCAGACAGGTGAGCCATTTAATTACCCTCCATTCAATCCACATTCTGCGAGTTTCCGACATATTTCCTCCGTTTCCATATGGTTCACCAGATTGTTGCATTTCGAAATTGTTTTATATACAGGATGAGTGAATTTACGTGGTTCCCTTTGAAGCGGCTGCACAGAATCGACTTTTGGACCGCCGTTGGTTTCGCATGTTTTAGCTTTACTGATGCTTTTGCTCTGACTTTCATTTTCAGAATCATCAGACTCGATTGAATCTTGCTTTGGCGCTCTCCAAGTATATTTTTCCGCCATTTCCCAATGTTTAGGTAATGCGCGCAATGCATTTTTCCTTGGAAGTCTATCACAGGGTATCAAGAGTGGCCTTTTCTGTTTTTCAACTTGTACCTTTCTAAAGAATCCGTTTTAAAGTTAAATGTATCTGCATCTTGGTGCGATAGATCCGATTCAGGTCTGCTATGCATATCCTTCGGGAACGTTTCGAATTGGCTTATTTGGACCTATTTGGAGTCGGTCGTGTTGTTTGCCAGTCCAGACAAATCCGAGAACAATTCAAAAACATAAGACAATCTCAGACCACGTGAAAATATATCTGTTTCTGCGGCATCGGAGCCCATGCAATCTAAAATGCCAAAGACTTAAAGCGTCCTATTTACCAAAGAATATCATGTATCAAAAGTTGTGTTATATATCTGGATTGGATTTCAGACTCGAAAATATCAGACTGACGTCATCACGTTTTCAAGATTGAGCGTCCCTGTAAATGTTATCAGAACTGAACAATGAACATTGCTGTATTTTGATTCAAGTAGTAACGAACTAAAATTTACAATCCGATCTAACTTCGATATGTGATGAATTCGATTGCATTTAGCGGGAAACTCTGAGTAGCAACTTATAATCCTCCTGTTCTACACGCTAAAAGAAGTGGCGCAGCGAGGGCGAGGCAAGAGGCGCGAATGACACCCCCCTAACAACAAGAAATCTTTTTGAAAAGGGCGTTTTCTGGCGTTCAAAAGGATGTACGCCCCCTGTTTTCCCTTAATCAACTTGCCTTGGCCCCCCAATCTTACCACCCTGGCTAGGCTACTGACTACAAGCATGTACCACACGACATCGTTCATTTTATGACAGACTGATTAAAAACCATTTTTTTTATCGATTCCCGGATATTTTATGGTCGAATCTTTTCTGCCCCGTATCCTAAGAGTTGTTTCAAATTGACCAATACAAATGAGAATTCTATTCTGCAAATTGGCAATTCCATAGAACGGAGTTGTACTTTAAATACACGTGCTTTGGTTTCCAATACTTCAGAACGCTCCACTAAGAATGCAATGGCATTCGTTATCTCTTGTTTTGTCTTTTTATCTAATAGCGCTGTCACATTTGAAGCTTTGTAGTTAGACTCTATATGAAAGAGCATCTATTGGTCATAAAGTCAAGTTTCCGTTTATACTGTACATTACACGTGTGCTAAGCTTACTGTAATTTAGCATAGATCCTCTCAAAATTGTGAATGACCTTTGTAACTTTGAAATTGGCATTTCCTGTATGAACATCCATTTACCTTGTTTCAAGAAGCTATTTTCTGACAATCTCAAATATTGTTTTGAAATGTAAAGTATATGTTTCTGAGCAACATCCTGGACGCTTCATATGAAGATAATAACATTTCGATGAACTCTAGCATGGTGGCGTGGCATTTTCAAAAGTCACATCATCCACGTCTACAATCCTTTAGGGACATTGGACCTAGAGATACACTGTGTCTGACACAGGACGTCTGAAGGGGCCTTTCATATTATTACGAGCCTCTTTTCTTTAATTTTGGGTAAATTAACTGCTATGATTGGTATTATACTCAATGTAGCCATAAACTATGAACAATATTTGAAGCGGGGCGTAGTGCTATGGGGCTCAGAGGCTGAGCTATTTTCTATTGTTTCTAGCAACATTTTGTGCAATAACCCCCCTTGTTATTTTGATAGCACTTCACCACTGATTTGAAAGTGCGTTTTGTTGCCTTTAGTTGAAAAATATCTGGCGGGTTTAGTTAATGTAATCCTCATTTGGCTAAAGGTGTGGTGTGGACTCCCTAACATTTGATCCTTGCTTTTACCTTTTAAATAAATCTACCTATAGATACCTTACCTAACAGGTGTTTTTGTCTTTGGTCAAGGCTACAGCAAAGCTTTTCAAATACCCACTGTCTCTAGCATATTTATGGTTTTTCATTTCCCCTTCGCTCTAATATACGGCCAAGCATAGAAAAATCATTCACTATATCATCATATCGATTTCTATCTTGAGCAAAAACCAATTTCCTTTATGAGTGCGAGATATTGGTTTTCAAGTCAAATGTAAAAAATAGTTGAGCATTTGCTGATTGACAAAAAAGGCAAATGTGCAAGCATGGATCAACTACACTCTGTGTGGGAAATGTCAGACAAAACACCAACTACTCCCAGGCATATCTGTTGATAACAAATTTGAAGTCTCACGTAGTGGAAAATGAAAAGTTTTTTGAGTACCTAAATCTGAACAATGATCTTGGGTGTATCCAAAACTTTGTGCGAATTTCCCACAGATGGTAATTCTTTATCTAAACTTGACGAATTATTGGTAAAAAATGAATTGTTCAAATTGCTCAAATATCTCATTGTTCAAAAAATTACTTGAAGAGTATTACTTCATCGAAAAGGTACCCTCATACGGTAAAATTTTAAGGATATACAGTGCCGTCGGAACGAAATTCATATTGGGGGGGGGGGCTGCCCATTGTTTTCCTTCTCATTCACTACACTGTTATAAAGGAAACATACTACAGTTTGACAATTATTGGGGGGGCAGCCCTCCCGGTTCCGACGGGCCTGATATAACAAAACCCGGACAAAACGTCTGTAGGTACTGTTGTATCACAAATTTTTGAAGATTGGTTTTGTCTATTCTGATTTTCTGAAGGGTCAATAAACCGCCTCGTTCTCAATAAAGCATATGAGCAGAGAAAATGGCGGCCACGAGGAATGATGATGAAGACAGGACTTGGGTAGAAGTTAAAGAAGGACGGGCAGCAGTTCTGTACCCAGCTTCGGAATCAGTATTTTACAACCCAGTGCAGCAGTTCAATAGAGATTTGAGCATTCTTGCGATTAAAGAATTCATTTCGATTTATTGCAAAGAATGGGAGGAAAAGGAAAAGACAAAACAAAGTAGACATACGAAAAGCTCTCATAATGAAATGTTACAAGAACAGCAAAGCAGCCAAGGTATGGAAGCTACTCATAGACCCAAAGTACGTGTGATGGAAGGGCTTGCAGCGACAGGACTGCGGTCGATAAGGTATGCACTGGAAATAGATGGCATTGGAGAGATCGTAGCTAACGATATAAGCAAAGCTGCTGTGGAAAATATAGAGCGAAATGTAGGGCATAATAAAGTTGACAGCATAATCAAGCCAAGCCTTAATGACGCAGGGTAAGTGGTCAGCAATACTATATTGATTTGACTATATTGCTGGTGAAAGACCTTTCTTAACTTGGATCACATCCAGAGTTTATTTAAGAGAAGTTCTTTAGAGTTATTGAAGTTATAACAAGGGTGTTTATTCAAGGGCTAGGCTGGGTAACTTGCAGTTACACAAGATTTTTTTGCCCTTTCACCTGACCTACATTATCAATCAAGTCATTTTATATCATACTTCAGCAATAAAAAAACATGTATAGTGAGTTGATTGCAGCTGAAATGCCTTGGTTGCTGTGTGCTGTTGCTTGAAGTTATTGTCAAATTGGTCATACTCTGCATAAAAGCATCTTTGAATAATAGGTTTATTTAAGTATGCTATATTCCTGTTGACTCACTCAATAATTCTTTGTATGCGAACCCACAATTTACATTCTGACTTTGAATCTTAAAACTTCTCAGGTATGTTGCTGGAGGTTAGTCCTTCACCATAAATCCCTGATACAAAAATGAGGAGCTATGTTTCCTTTTCCCTTCCACTAACTTACTGTAGAAAACAAAACTTTGCATTTCTGGCATTTCCCACCATGTTCAATCTCTTGTTGTAGAATAGTCTTGTATATATGAACATCACTGCTTGCAGCTCAAATGCCTAGGCTTGCAGTTTGCAGCTAATAGTAGGGGGTGGCAGTAGTTAGGGTGTAACTTTGAAAGCAATTTTACACCAGCTTTAATCTAATCCATTTGATTTATGTAGACATTTTAAATTTTTTTGTTGGGAAGGAACCATTTTTGGTCTGAAGGGGCCTAAAAATGTGATTTTGCTTTTCTGGGGTCAGCAACAGCCTTGTAACGAGTCTATTCTTACTTGAAATAACATGAGAGGCAAGATAATGCCACAAACCAATATTATTGTGTATGTTGATAACTTGAAACAACCATTTTTAAAGTATTTCCTCTATCAGGGCCAGGCCAAATCAGCCCAAATAGTCCAAAAAGATGCCAATATTGGTCAAAATAGTGGAAACTCTTCATAACTTATGTTATTACCTTGCATCTGAAGTTTACCTTCCATCAACCGTGTTGAACAAAAGTCTATCCTATGACAAATCAAAAATTCCATGCAGACATTCTTAATCTAAACTATTTGAATATGCTTGGTGTGTGTTTCTGTTAAGAAATAATCAGTTATGACTGAACAGATACATTCATAGAAACCAAAGTCACAATTAAGTTAGAATCTTCTACAAAACAAGAAAATTGAATTTGAACAATATATTACACTTAGGTATGGCTGAAAAAACAATGTAGTTGATCAGGAACTTATAGAAAATGTTTTCTTAAAACTTACAAAACATTTAGCAATGACATTTAAGGCTTTTCAAATGAATTTTTTCCTGTCTTCCTTAGTTCTAACTACGTTCAACATAAAATTGTAAATTTGCATTCTTTGCAAGAAGCATTTGTTCAGCATCAACTTCTTTAATGATTGGTTTTTTGGATACATCCAATCCAAGTTTTAACAACTATTGCATCTAGCCTGTTGCTCCATCTCGAAAAATTTCGTTTTTCATTGTTGAGGATGTATCACCCAATTTGGTTTGCAAGTTGATGACCAAATTATATGGTCTACTCACCTATCCTCTACAATCAAGAAAGTCTCTAGAGGTATCAGTATGTTGAAGTACTTTTAATGTTACCTACCTAAATAAAACCTCCTGATGCTCTATAGAAGTCTTATTTAGCCCTACTTTAGGTATTGTTGCCCTGTTTGGAGATCTTGCACTGCATCTGCCCTTGATAAGTTGCAAAAACTTCAGAATCTTTGAAGCCTCTTGCCTCTGATTACTTGAGAAACCTCTTTCAAAGTGTATCTGAAGCTACTGACCGTCAGCTGAGGAACTCAACATCTAGCCTTAGATTACTTTTACTGAAAAAAGCTACTGGTCAGAAATCGTTTGCTTATAGAGGGGCTAAGGTCTGAAGTGACCTGGTTAGTGGTGTCAAAGCATCATCATCCTTCTGCCCATTTCGAAGGGAAAATAAAACCCAAATATTAAGCAACTAAAACTCAGCTCGTTTTTCTTTATTTTATCTATAATCATTGTAAATAAGATTATTTTATATATTTAGTTGTTGGTAGATTTTATTTTGCATGGCTCCTTGTAAATCAGTATGTTATAATAATGAGTGGATTACCATGGATAAAAGGTTAAAATGAAATGACCTTGTTGATTGTTTGCTAAAGAAATTGCCTGCCTTGGCCTTCCTTTTACTATTTCTGAAGGGGTCTTCCTCAACCAATTAAACACTTCCTGATATTTTTAACTCGGTGACATTCGTGGTGAAATTCTTTTGGTGCAAGCTTTGTGCAAAACACAACCCAGTGATTCTCCCAGATTTGTGAAAACTGTGATCGAAGCCCACATTGAAGGGACTAATTTCCGGAAGAAATGTACAATTGATCGACACTTCGAAGGTATATCATTTTTTTAATTGTTTATGGCTTTTTATTTTGTTACAGGACCCCTTAGCAATTTCCTATCCTAAATTTGCAGGCTTTTTTACTGTTTTATTTTTTAGTAGGTTCCTCTTCTACACGTTTTTTAGTATAAGAAGGTGGGTTATAATGAAAATAGTGTTTGGCTACTAAAAAAGGTACCTAAGAGTTTTTCAAACCTAAGGAAGTAAATCATTATGTTAGTATACAAACATTTCAATAGTGTTTCAACTAAGACTAGAATCTGTGCTGTGCAACCATGGTGATGCAAGGCTTAATTTTATCGAAAATGTTTTACTACAGACATTTATCGATACCCACAAATCATATAAAAAAGGATACTTTTAAGCAAATAGATAAAATTTATTTCATCAGGATTGGAGTACTTACTGATTCATATCAGATTTTGAAATCCCTTGACAAATTTTATTTTCATTCATTTGATTTGAGCTCTTACTATTTCAGGAAACAGACACAAATGGGCTGAGAAAGAAGAACTAAGATTGCCAAAAGGCGAACAATTGGCATTAGTAGGAGCAAGACACGGCGCGGTTCAATAAAGATTTGATGTTACATCAAAACAAAGCATCATAGAGGCATATACAAAAATGTCGAAAACAGCCTTTCAACTGGCCATGAACCCAACTATGCCTTTAAAACAATCAAAGTTGTGGTAAAGTGTCACAGACAGAATGGTGTTGTTCTGGTAGACGGCAGGGGCAACAACAAAGCAGAAAGGAAATATGTTCACTGCATCGCAAATGCTGCACGGGAGATATGCACTACCATATTTGCAAGCCAGCACTCCATGTCCTTGATGACCGATGGGTTCCAAGCCAGAAAAACTGGCACAGAAAAGGAGCTGATTATGGTTGGTGTTTTAAGGAATGGAATTCCTTGCTATTTAGTTTTATCATATAGCTAAGGAATAGATATGGCAGTTTTGATGCTGACTCCATTACATTGGGCATAAATAGCCTTTTTAACAATGAACAGAGTTTAATGAAAATGACACTAGAAGCCTACAACATTAAAATGGTTTCAGCCACTGCAGATAGAGTCTTGATGCACTTGTCGCAAAATAGAAACTGGCTGCTCAAAATTCATTGCGCCAATAATCGCACTGAACTGGCTTTAAATCAATGATCAAAGATTCCAGCTTCAATGAATGTGATGAACATTATATTCCAAAGCCATATATTCATTGCTTAAAAGAACTTTGGAAAATTTAACCATAGTGTTCATTCTGCATACAAAAATGGGGATTGATGCACACAAAAAACTCCCGAAACTTCATGGAACCTGGTTCATAAACCATCAACATAAAGGCATATAGATTTTTCTTAACATGTAGCCCATGCCTTGTGACAGCATTCGTGAACGCCTTGACAGATCAAGAAGAGAAAGCAGAGACAAAAGCCATGATCAAAGGTTTGCTTGAAATACTACCATCATACAGGTTCTTTTGCAAGTTTGCAAGATATGTGGATATTCTGCATGCTGCATGCAGGCCCATCATCATTATCTTGTGAAGGGGAAGGTGTCATGCTCTATGAAATTTCGGAATCTATAGAGAAAACAATGTTTGAGCTAGATGGTCTGGAAGAGAATGCAGGAACTGATGAAGAACTTTTGAACAGCCATCTTGCCAGATTCGAAGCAAAGCAAGAAGCGAACAAATGGGAAAGAAGCACAGCAAATGATAGGTATATATATATATACCTTAAGGAGGGTCACAGGAGAAGAAAAGCTGCTAATCGAGAAAATGTTGAAATCCCAATTTCAGGAATGTATTTTTCAAAAGATTCACGCGAACTTGCAGCTGCTGCTAAAAGATCAAATGTTCAAAAATTGAATTCTGTTTTCCAAGCACGGTTCCCGGTAGCAAACAATGAATTGTTCAGATCAGTGAGAATTTTGATCCACAGTATTGGAGGGATGACAATGATTATGGCATACTGGAGCTTCGCTGCATTTCAGAAAAATTTTCAGTTCCTCTCTCTATCAGCAGCAGGTATCAGTGAGAAGAATCTTTTCACTGAATTGAGACATTTTCGTAGTTTTGCTATCTTTTCAAAGGGCCTAAAAAATTATGGTATCGTGTCTTAAATTTTCGAAGATTTCCTAATCTCCTAATCCATGTCTCACAATCGAGCTGCTGACATGTATTGCAGGCTCAAATTCAACAGTTGAAAGAGCATTCGGTTTGTGGACTCTTCTTCTTAGCGGTCGTCGATTGACCATGCACCACTGCACGATGGAAGATCTTATGATTACAAAGGCAAATGACAAAACTTGGTTCGGGTCAGAACGCAAGGGAATAATCAGCCGTGCCATTGAAATGTATTTGGAAGGTGCAGCTCGTAAGTTCCGAGGAAGATGTAGATGTAGGACGAAGGTGTGTGGAAAAAGTTGTGTAAAAGTAGAACATGATTGCCCGAAGATGCCAAACGAACTAATTGAGAGGTTAACAAGTTTAACGGACTTGTACAAGCTGCTAAGAGTTTTTAAAAGAAATTCGTATTTATCTTAATTGCGTTTTATCCAGCAAAAGAAGATCTGTGGAAGAAGTTGTTTCTGATAGTGAATCAGAATCGGTTAAGAGCATCGAATTTTCTTGTGATGAAGAACTGTAGATCCAATAATATAATATGTCATTAGTTGCTGAAATGTTATTTTCCTGTTTTTAAAAGCTCTTTATTTTCCTTATTTTATTCAAAAAATGCTTGTTTTATTTTTACATATGCTTCAAAGCATTTGCAAACCAGTTTTATGTATTGTAAAGATTAACCACCTGAAAATGAGAAGGAGGAGGACGATTTATCGCTCGTCTACTCAAATTCTTATGGCCAGGCCTGCTTATTCAAACTCGGCCATGAATTTTAAGAATTAAAATGTTTATCTCTTTATTCCATTTTCCCCATGAAAGCTTTTTCCTTGCAACTTTTTGATACTTTAGTTATTAGTAATTTTTCTTTTATATGTAGTTTGAACATAGTTTGAACAATATTTCCCAAACTATATTCTATTTTAAAACTTGTTTGCTAATTTATTTGCCTATCGTATGCCTCATTAAACTACGCATGTGATTTTTCATCCATCTGCTAGAATACACATAACCCGAAATGATTATTCATCTTTAACAGATAGCTTTGTTTTAATATTTCCAGGCTTCTCATGTACCAAAACAAGTTCCCACTTTCAAAGAGGTTCCAGGTCATTGACTTAGATCCTTATGGTTCACCTGCATCATTTCTTGATGGAGCTGTACAAGCAGTTGATGATGGTGGCCTTCTTTGTATAACATGCACTGACATGGCTGGGCTCTGTGGCAATCATGGAGAAGCATCATTTGCAAAATATGGTGCAATGCCATTAAAATCAAAGTGCTGCCACGAAATGGTTAGTAGCACAACCTTAAAGTTACATTTGAATATCCCTTCTTACCCAAGTCAAATTCAGACACTGCAAAGAAAGGGGGCTGGAGGGCTTTTTTAGACCCCCATTTTTCTTCTCAACGCTCCACGGTGCCTGCACTTTTAAGCCAAGGGTCACACCATCAATAAACACCGTTTCTAACTTCAAGATGCCTTTTTATGAAGTTTCTTCACTGAAAGTCCTAAAAAATCATTTGGTTTCAAATTTCTTTTCAATGTGTTTTGCATATTCCTTGTAGCGATGTTGGTTGTTTTTGTGAATATTAAACAGGTAACAGTAACACGTAACCGTTTTAGTGACAGTAATTTCACTTTCTCTGAAGACAAACTGGCATATTTAATGTGTTTTTAAGTTACGTAGGATTTGGGTTTTGTTTATATCCTTCCAGGCCCTGAGGATTGTTTTAGGATCAATTGAAGCCCATGCTGGAAGATATAAAAGGTATATGATGCCTCTGCTCTCTGTTAGTGCTGACTTCTACGTTAGAGTCTTTGTCAGGATAACAACAAGTGCCAGCGAGGTAAAGAGATCAGCCAGCAAAAAGTCGTATGTCTTCCAATGTGTTGGCTGTGACAGTTTTCACCTTCAGCCAGGTTTGTTTGCATTTTTGCAAGTTTTGGCATCATTTCCCTATTAGCACTTTTACAAGCTGTTTAGCAGCTAAGTATGATTTATGGGCAAGGGAGATATTTATTTTTATTAGTATAATCAGTTGCCTGATGATTACAATAAGCATAAAACTTGGAGTTGCAAACCATCCTGTTATTTTGAATATGCCACTAGCCACCCCCTCCTTTTTTGTCTATAAACTGCGGCTGTATTTACAAATTTAGGAGAGTTCTGTTTTTTAATAAATACGACAGTAAAATTCTATAATGGCAATAAAAATTCTCATGTTGTTGAAATCTTAATTTCAGTTGGCAAAAGAATTGAAGAAGGGAACAAGAAAAAGTACAATCCAGGCACAGGTCCTGTTGTTGGAGAAAGCTGTAAAGAGTGCGGCCAGAGATTTCAGATTGGCGGACCAATTTGGTCCGAGCCGATGCATGACAAGAAATTTGTAGAATCTTTGCTCAAACGGTTATCTGAAGAAAATGAACTATATGGAACATCGCAAAGAATGAAAGGTGTGTATTGGTATTTTATTTCAGATTGCAGAGTTAAATTTTTGAATATATTCGAAGATTAATGATGCTTAAGGTTAGCTAGTTATGGGCATATTAATTTGCTATGCTCGTAAAGAGAATTAGAACTTTTGTAAAGACACCGCAGTCCTCTTAACTGTTTCTTTTTCGAATATGTCAAATCTTAGTTAAATCTTCATGTTGATATAATGTGATCAGTATAAATGTGATCATTCAACTCAAGAAATGGATAAATTTGGGCTTCCATCAAATATCTTACAGATTCCATAACACAGGGCCATTCACTGTTGACAACGCTATTGCCCCAATCACAATTGGGTGCCACAATGATTCAATTAAGGCATAATAATTTGATGTCTTTGACTAGATAGGGGAATAAGATTTCGCAAATTTTCATGTGAAATCGGAGTAAATGTTTTTACAGGAACTTTGACGGTGGTGTCTGAGGAACTGGAAGACGCTCCACTGTACTATGTTATCGACAAATTAGCGAACGTGATTCACTGCTGCGTACCATCAATGCTTCAGTTCAGATCGGCTTTGATCAATCTTGGATACCAGGTTTCCTCAACTCATGCAAACAGCAATGGGGTGAAAACGGACGCACCACCTTCAGGTTGGTTTTTCAGGATTTCATATTCAATTTTTGATCAATCTTCCGTCCGCTTTTTATGGAAAAATAATAATGCCATATTAAGATGGTCATGGGAACATGTTTTGTCCATCTAGAATCGATGAAATCTTAATATAATATAACAATCAAGAAGGACAAGGGTATGTGTCAGGCAGTTTAGAATTTTAGAGCCTGGTTTTAAGTTTTTGAATCTATCTAAAATAATAGCAGATTCAAGATAAACCGTCGCCGGCCATGACAGGTTGTGGCTGACATCATGGGACGATCTGCAAATCATTGCAGAAAAGGAGCTGCGATGATAGCTGTCGAATTTAAGGAAACGAAAACAACCACCTAATCTTTTTTCGTTTGCCAAAATATATGTTTTGAAGTATATTAATTGGTCGGCAAAAAGACTGAGATATCATCTTTGAAATGCTTTGTTTGATATTTCTATCATGTAAATTGATCTTTTGTCTTTGTAGGAGAAAATTCTATTTACAATTTGAAAAAACGTTTGCTTTTATCTATACTTTTCTACTCTTTATTTTTGATAGTTTAACCTCTGCAGATTGTCATAAAAGTATCTTTTCTATGTCAATGACTAAAATGGGATGACCTTTTTTTCTAGTAATTTGGGACATTCTAAGATGCTGGGAGAAGGAGCACCCGGTTTCTGAAAAAACAAAGACTGCGCAGTCACCTGCAGCAGCAATTTTGTCAAAGCCACCAAAAATAGAGGCATCGTTTGTTGTGGTAGAGGAAGCAAATCCTAAATCAAGAAAAATGAAAATTTCCAGGTTCCCAGAAAACCCACTGCCTGATTGGGGGCCCAAAGCCAGGTTAGTTTGTCACTTATTCGAATTGTTTTTATCTTTGGTTCTTGGAATTACAATGTTGCTTGTTAATAGGCATTGAACTATTGAGCGTAAAAGGTTTTTTAAAACGTCATATATTATTCATTATAATTAGCGTCATTATATTTTTTCATCGTAGTCTTTATAATTGTCATTATGATCTTCGTCATAAGAACCATACTTTGTCATCATCAACATAAATTTCATTATCGTAATCGATCATAATCATAATCATGATCGATATAATCATTGCCAACGTCTTCATTAAATATAACCTTACCATCGTCAACATATTCGATATTATCAGCATCATGATCATTGTCCATAATGTGATATTTATTCATAACCACCCCTAATAATTGAATGACAGGGCCAAAGGATCAACAAAATTTCAGTCATTGTCTGAGAAAAGAAAACAGCTTCAAGGAAAGAAAACAAAGAGGAAAGAATTGTCAAGTCATCCATTAACTAAAGATTTTCCATGCAAAAGACATAAACAAGGGCTCTGTGAATTCTCTTCTGAAGACTGTAGATACCTTCACAAAGAAGAATCGACCATTATGGCTGGATCCCCAGAGAAAGCTACAACGGAGGAGTGAAACCATTGTCTTTAACATAGGATATCAGCACACCAAATTCTGTATAGAATCTGTGAAATCAGGAAGTAATAGCCAACAATTCATTTTTAAAAATTGGGTTCCAAAAGTAGCTGATGCATTCATCTTTGCATCCCATATTTCTTCCTGAAAGAAAAAAACGTGGTCTTTAATATCGGTTTTTGAATTGTTTGTACTTGACTGATCTCTCGGCGAGGTAAAATTATATCTGACTTTTTTTATCAAAATCTTTTTTCGTGAAGAAACAAATTATTTACTTGTACACACTTTTTTACACAAAAAGCAATGATCACAAAAGCACAAAACGTTTTCCAAGTAAATTCTAAAATTATCAAAATCACAGAATTTTAAATCTTGTTCCAATCAAAATGATTATTTTATTTTCCACGAGATACCATCTAACTGTAGAACAAGAGATATTATGCGAGGTGTTGTATAAGATATTTCTTTAAAGATATCATCGACATTCAACTTAAGTTAAAGATATCGATTTTTTATGTGCAAAAACATTCCTGCAATCACAAATGTAAACCTTTTCACTCTATTGGCTTGAAAAAATAGTCTAGTTTGAAGGCTCAAAAAATAAGCAAACGGGTGTAGGATAGTACTTAAAGATGAAGCTGTCGTGAGTGAAAAATATAGTAATAAGTACGACATGGTACGGTTAAACCACCAAGAAAAGAAAGCAGCAATGCAGTTTGAGGATAGAAACATGGAAAATACCTAACTTCATGCATATTTCCTCCCCTCATACTTTTCTTCAGCCCATAAAACTTCATTATCTTAGGAGATATAGAGCCAATGAAATTTAAACATTTAGAAAAAAATATTGCTCAAGCACGACTAGCATATCAATTTTTCACAAAGGCCTATACTCCATGACGAAAATGTGTTTGACGAAAAAAATGCCTTCGGGATATTTTTAGGGAAACATTTCCGCAAAGGAATAATTTAAACTGGCAAAATTTTTACAACAAAGACAGTCTCATTGAGTATTGCCTCTTTAAAAATGTTTTGATTGACTCCAAATCATAAGGTATTTAGATTCTAAATGTTAGTACGTACTTGTCCGCTCGTACGCAGCTTTTTCGACTTGCGTATGACATTGTACATCCTCTGAAAAAAACTTAAGCCCTGCAGTTTTGAAGTCAGTCAAAACCAATTCAATATGACCAGAAACTGCAAGAAATCAACAGAGATTGGCAGAGGCCGTTTTTAAGAAAAAACAGCAACTTTCCATTTAATGCCAATTTTTTGTAAAAACGAAGTCTTTAGGCGTGCAAAAATGGTCAAGTTTTTGAGGTATTTTTCTCCAAAATTGCAATATGATCAGAGATTTATCAGGATTGGCAATGGAAGCTGTTCTTATGAAGAATTTATGACTCTTAAGGACACTCGATTTTTTGCGAAGAAAGCACGACTCTAGGCTTGCAAACATGGTCATATTTTGGAGGGGATTTTTTCTCCAAAAGCAGACGGAATCGTTACAATATAATAAAAAACAACCAGAAATCAATAAGGATTGGCAATGGACGCAGTCTTCTGTTTACCACTTTTTATGTCCGTCAATTTTGAAGGGGAATTTGTTGTTGCAAAATTAGACAGAACCCATTTGATGTGATAAAACCGCTCGAAATCAATGTAGATTGTGAGACGAAGCTGTTTTATGGAGAATTGGCGACATATAATGACTACTGATTTTTCTAAGAAAGCAAGTGTAGTTTCGTGCAAAAATTGTCAAATTTTTGAGATGATTTTCTGGCACCAATATTAGACAAAATCGATTCGATGTGAACTGAAGCCACTGCAAATAAAGTTAGATTGGTAGAGGCGACTGTTTTTTTGGAGAGTTGATTACTTTAAATGACTATCGATTTTTCTTAAAAAGCAAGTCTATAGGGTTGCAAAATTTCTCGAATTTTTTAGGGGAATATATTCTCAACTGTAAGACAGAATCGATTTAATACTGCCAGAAGCTACTGGACGACAAGACTTTTAGGGTTGTCGTTTTTATGACGAATTGACGACATTATGTATCTAAAAGTTTGTTGGCTTGCAATAATTTTCGTAATTTTTCGTGGGGTTTCAAATTGTGGAGGTGATTTTTTGCATCAATTTGATGGAATCGTTTTCAAGATGCTCGAGAACTACCAGAAATCAATAAAGATTGGCAGCAGAAGCTGCTATTATGGAGAATAGGCTTCTTTTTTGACGGTCTAGTAGCATTTGGAATTAAGTTTTGCAATGCCGGTGAAATGGAAATTCTGCTCACAACGAAAATCTAATAAAGTGCCAGGTTAGTCAGTTACTTCGTCTGTAAGTTATTTTGTAGGTTATTGTTTTGAAAACGACTATATATGTCAGCCAAGTAGGTATTAAAACTTATTTGTTAAAAAAGGATTTGACTTGTTGTGGGAAGTTCTATTTATTGAACGTAATTTTCTCAGTTTGTTGTGTTTCTCAATTTAAACTCTCTACTGATCTGTTAAATTTAATTTTATGCCTTGTTGTTGCTACGTCATCAGAATGTTGCCACTACTTATACATAATGATTAAGACTAGAAATGCATCCTTCCTTTGGGGATTAAGCCATTTCTAATGACGAAATACCTACTGCTTGCTTTTTACCAGTTTCTTGTGAAAGTACTAAAGAAGAAATCTATTATTTAGATTATGCTCATTTGTGATTTTCAATTGATCTGAGTCTCCGAGATATTTATCGTTGTTCCTAAGCTGTTTTGATATTGGGCTTGCTTGATATGTTATTTCTTTGGCTTATAGCACAGCTCACCCTTGGTTTATGTTTGTCAATACATCGGTGAATTCAATACTGTTACAATTATCTCTATTGCAAACAGAAAGCACGTCTTGGTCGAACTCAGAAACAACTGACGACAAAAATAAAAGCAGTTGTTTGTTATGTCAGCAAGACAAAATGGGGGAGATTGGAAGTCAAATGGGTTAGTCATTTGTATGAGTCAAAATCTACAAAGCCTTCAAGAAATGGAGAAAGGAAACATGAATATGGACTTGTTCAACATTTGTCTTATACTTTTGAAGAAGTGCTGAAGGAATCATTCAAACATAAGGATGTTTGCCCACTAACATTTGTACATTTACGTTTGCTCGCGGTAAAAATCAGAATTAATTTAGCCGGGATGAAAGTTTTATATAGAAAACAATTTTGAAATTAGATAGCTTTGGTACGTAAAACTTGTTAAAATAGCATTTACTTATCTAATTAATTGGAATATTAGTTTTATGTGTAAAATTGTTTGAAAAAAACGTCAAATAAGTTTCAAGTCAGCTAATGCCTTATGTGCCTATGCTGTATTTTCTGGAGTCACTGTATTTGCCTTCAAATCTTAACAGGATTTTGATAGCCTGCTTGACACCACTGCAACTACCAGATTACTGGAATCCAACCAGTTGCTTTTAAAATGTCAGAAGCTTTGCGAAGCAAGGAGAGAGGGGACGATTACTGAACCAAGGACTGAAAGTACTTGCTTTTCAAGTCGCTTTGAAATATAATGCTAACAGATTGATAATTTGAATTATGATAGAAATTGTTTTCACATACATACCTTGAATATATTATATTACTGTCCATCTCCTATGATGTTCTACATATAAAAACGCCACTAGCTTCCCTGCCACCGTTGTTGTTTTGTATATCAGTTGAAGCAAATATCGAGTCTTGATGAATACGCATCATTAATTTTTTAAGGAAATCTCTGGCATATGTGATTCTACTTCAAATCATTTATTCACATAACACATATTCTACGCATGTTGGCTTAAATATATATTTTTCATAAAGATGTGGTAAATTCTAAATCCCAGATTTTATTCTTTAATTATAATATATTTCGTTTTTCCCTTCCTTTTTATACTTTTTCGTCACAAACAGAAGTAAATGTCTGAACCTTGCATGTTGTGTAGAATTTGATCGACTATTTACCTGCTTTTGTAGCCATTTTTGTTCCTCGTCTAATGTCAGCGAGTTGAAAAATAATGAATTATTTCGGTTCCTTTTTAGTGATCCTGTAGTCAGTAGAAACGGTTTTTCATTATAAAACCATCCTGCTTTTTGGTAATATTGGTATATTGGTATTTTTGGTATGTTGTATTACAGTCTCTAATACTTATATCTCTGTGTTTGATTTGCAGAAAACAGATGTTGAAATTCAGTTTGCAGTCATCGTGATCATCCGTTCGCACGAATGCATATCTCTAGAGCTTGAAATCCAAAAATCTAAAGGATGTTATTTCAAACTTGAACCGAAAGCAGGATGTCATGAGCACAGTTAAGGAGGGTCTTAAAAAAAAAGACGAGGAACATTCTCATGGATTTGGCAGAGTCTTGAAAAAACATCTTCGACTCTTGTGTGAATTTGTGCAAGCAAAACGCCGGGGGAACTAGGAAAAGGTAACAAGTTAGAAATTATGTAAATCAATTTTCAAAGGCATTTTGAAATGTGCGCGGTCTTTTTTCGTTGGCAGGCATTAATCTCTGCAATCATGATTGACTCAAGTACCTACATCTTTTGCAGTTACTTACAATTGTTTTGTTGTTAATCTTGTTGAAAGTAATCTGAAACTACTGCGAACCAATTAATTTACTCTCTGGCTCAGCATACTCGTCGTGTTATAGTGTAACCACGCTTTTTACTATTGGAGTTATTGATAATCTTATTATAGGTATGGATATCAGTTGATATAAACAAGATGACAAGTATAATTCTCTGAACAGCAAGGAAAGAAAATTATCTAAATTGATTTGTCTTGCCTCATTATTCTTTTCGATTCCCGCTTGTTATTCCAAATGTCCCATGTTTTTTTTAAAATTTAATTTCCCCTTAAGTGAATGTTTCCCAAGATAAAACATTCCATTTTTGGAAGCTCACTTTGAATCTTATTTCTTATTTTCTCTCTTACGTGCCTTTTTATCAGATGAATAATATTGATTGCTATAAGGAGAAATTTCCTTGCCTAGTTCCTCTTTGCGTTAGCATCTGAAATCACCAAGTGGGGGTAATCACCAATTCGGTTGCACAAGATTTAAACTTTCAGGAGGCAAGGTGATTAAAACATACGAACCTTCCTTCCTTCCTTCATCATACGAACTTTCCTTCCTTCTTTAAAGAATGCTAATAAAATGATGGTCTGTGTTTCTACTCATTCCAATGCAAAACTTCCTTATGTACTTCGCAAGATCCCTAAAATATGCAAACAACGAATACACGATTGGATCTTGCGAAGTACATAAGGAAGTTTTGCATTGGAATGAGTAGAAACACAGACCATCATTTTATTAGCATTCTTTAAAGAAGGAAGGAAAGTTCGTATGATGAAGGAAGGAAGGAAGGTTCGTATGTTTTAATCGCCTTGCCTCCTGAAAGTTTAAATCTTGTACAACCGAATCCATTACCCCCACTTGAAGATTTCAGATGCTGACGCAAAGAGGAACTGGACAAGAAAATTTCTCCTTATAGCAATCAAAATTATTCATCTGATAAAAATGCACGTAAGAGAGAAAAGAAGAAAATGGATTTAAAGTGAGCTTCCAAAAATTGAATGTTTTATCTGGGAAAACATTCATTTAAGGGGAATTTAATTTTTAAAAAAACATGGGACATTGGAATAACAAGCGGAAATCGAAAAAATAATTAGGCAAGACAAATCAATTTAGATAACTTTCTTTCCTTGCTGTTCAGAGAATTATACTTGTCATCTTGTATATATCAGCTGATGTCCATACCTATAATAAGATTATAAATAACTCCAATAGTAAAAAGCGTGGTTACACTATAACACGACGAGTATGCTGAGCCAGAGAGTAAATCAATTGGTTCGCAGTAGTTTCAGATTACTTTCAACAAGATTAACAACAAAACAGTTGTAAGTAACTGCAAAAGATGTAGGTACTTGAGTCAATCATGATTGCAGAGATTAATGCCCGCAAACGAAAAAAGACCGCGCACATTTCAAAATGCTTTTAAAAATTGATTTATAGAATTTCTAACTTGTTACCTTTTCGTGGTTCCTCCAGCGCTTTGCTTGCACAAATTCACACAAGAGTCGAAGATGTTTTTTCAAGACTCTGCCAAATCCATGAGAACGTTCCTCGTCTGTATTTTTAAGACCCTCCTTAACTGTGCTCATGACATCCTGCTTTCGGTTCAAGTTTGAAATAACATCCATTAGATTTTTGGATTTCAAGCTCTAGAGATATGCATTCGTGCGAACGGATGATCACGATGACTGCAAACTGAATTTCAACATCTGTTTTCTGCGAGACAAACACAGAGATATAAGTATTAGAGACTGTAATACAATATACCAAAAATACCAATATTACCAAAAAGCAGAATGGTTTTATAATGAAAGACTGATTTTACTGACTGCAGGGTCACTAAAAAGGAACCGAAACTATTCATTCCTTTTCAACTAGCTGACATTAGACGAAGAACAAAAATGGTTCAGTGGCTACAAAAGCAGGTAAATAATTGATCAAATTCCACACAACATGCAAGGTTCAGAAATTTACTTCTGTTTGTGACGAAAAAGTATAAAAAGGAAGGGAAAAAAGAAATATATTATAATGAAAGCATAAAATCTGGGATTTAGAATCTACCACATATTTATGAAAAATATATATTTAAGCTAACATGCGTAGAATATGTGTTATGTGAATAAATGATTTGAAGTAGAATCACATATGCCAGAGATTTCCTTAAAAAATTAATGATGCGTATTCATCAAGACTCGACATTTGCTTCAACTGATATACAAAACAACGATGGTGGTAGGGAAGCTTGTGGCGTTTTATATGTAGAACATCATAGGAGATGGACAGTAATATAATACATTCAAGGTATGTATGTGAAAACAATTTTCTATCATAATTCAAATTACCAGTCTGCTAGCATTATATTTTAAAGCGAATTGAAAAGCAAGTACCTTCAGTCCTTGGTTCAGTAATCGTCCCCTCTGCCCTTGCTTCGCAAAGCTTCTGACATTTTAAAAGCAACTGGTTGAATTCCAGTAATCTGGTAGTTGCAGTGGTGTCAAGCAGGCTATCAAAATCCTATTAAGATTTGAAGGCAAATACAGTGACTCCAGAAAATACAGCATAGGCACATAAGGCATTAGCTGACTTAAAACTTATTTGACGTTTTTTTCAAACAATTTTACACATAAAACTAATATTCCAATTAATTAGATAAGTAAATGCTATTTTAACAAGTTTTACGTACCAAAGCTATCTAATTTCAAAATTGTTTTCTATATAAAACTTTCATCCCGGCTAAATTAATTCTGATTTTTACCGCGAGCAAACGTAAATGTACAAATGTTAGTGGGCAAACATCCTTATGTTTGAATGATTCCTTCAGCACTTCTTCAAAAGTATAAGACAAATGTTGAACAAGTCCATATTCATGTTTCCTTTCTCCATTTCTTGAAGGCTTTGTAGATTTTGACTCATACAAATGACTAACCCATTTGACTTCCAATCTCCCCTATTTTGTATCGCTGACATAACAAACAACTGCTTTTATTTTTGTCGTCAGTTGTTTCTGAGTTCGACCAAGACGTGTTTTCTGTTTGCAATAGAGATAATTGTAACAGTATTGAATTCACCGATGTATTGACAAACATAAACCAAGGGTGAGCTGTGCTATAAGCCAAAGAAATAACATATCAAGCAAGCCCAATATCAGAACAGTTTAGGAACAACGATAAATATCTCGGAGACTCAGATCAATTGAAAATCACAAATGAGCATAATCTAAATAATAGATTTCTTCTTTAGTACTTTCACAAGAAACTGGTAAAAAGCAAGCTGTAGGTATTTCGTCATTAGAAATGGCTTAATCCCCAAAGGAAGGATGCATTTCTAGTCTTAATCATTATGTATAAGTAGTGGCAACATTCTGATGACGTAGCAACAAGGCATAAAATTAAATTTAACAGATCAGTAGAGAGTTTAAATTGAGAAACACAACAAACTGAGAAAATTACGTTCAATAAATAGAACTTCCCACAACAAGTCAAATCCTTTTTTAACAAATAAGTTTTAATACCTACTTGGCTGACATATATAGTCGTTTTCAAAACAATAACCTACAAAATAACTTACAGACGAAGTAGCTGACTAACCTGGCACTTTATTAGATTTTCGTTGTGAACAGAATTTCCATTTCACCGGCATTGCAAAACTTAATTCCAAATGCTACTAGACTGTCAAAAAAGATGCCTTTTCTTCATAATAGCAGCTTCTGCTCCCAATCTTTACTGATTTCTGGTAGTTCTCAAGCATCTTGAAAACGATTCCATCAAATTGATGCAAAAAATCACCTCCACAATTTGAAACCCCACGAAAAAATTACGAAAATTATTGCAAGCCAACAAACTTTTAGATACATAATGTCGTTAATTCGTCATAAAAACGACAACTCTAAAAGTCTTGTCGTCCAGTAGCATTAAATCGATTCTGTCTTACATTTGAAAATAGATTCCCCTAAAAAATTTGACAAATTTTGCAACCCTATAGACTTTCTTTTTAAGGAAAATCGATAGTCATTCAAAGTAACCAACTCTCCAAAAAAACAATCGCCTCTACCAATCTAACTTTTTTTGCAGTGGCTAAAGTTCACATCGAATCGATTCTGTCTAATATTGGTGCCAGAAAATCATCTCAAAAATTTGACAATTTTTGCACGATACTACACTTGCTTTCTTAGAAGAATCAGCAGTCATTATATGTCGCCAATTCTTCATAAAACAGCTTCGTCTTACAATCTACATTGATTTCCAGCAGTTTTTATTATATCGAATGGATTCTGTCTAATTTTGCAACAACAAATTCCCCTTCAAAATTGACGGATATAAAAAGTGGTAAACAGAAGACAGCGTCCATTGCCAATCCTTATTGATTTCTGGTTGTTTTTTATTATATTGTAACGATTCTGTCTGCTTTTGGAGAGAAAAAATCCCCTCCAAAATATGACCATGTCTGCAAGCCTAGAGTCGTGCTTTTTTCGCAAAAAATCGAGTGTCCTTAAGAGTCTTATAAATTCTATATAAAAAAGCTTCCATTGCCAATCCTTATAAATTTCTGTTAGCTTCTGATCATATTGCCATTTTGGAGAAAAAACCCTCAAAAACTAGACCATTTTTGCAGGCCTAAAGACTTTCGTTTTTACAAAAAATTGGCAGTAAATGAAAAGTCGTGGTTTTTTCTTAAAAACGGCCTCTGCCAATCTCCGTTGATTTCTTGCAGTTTCTGGTCATATTGAATTGGTTTTGACTGACTTCAAAACTGCAGGGCTTAAGTTTTTTTCAGAGGATGTACAATGTAATACGCATGCCGTAAATGCTGCGTACGAGCGGACAAGTATTCCGTACGAGCATTTCGAATCTAAATCCCTTATGACATTTTTAGAGAGGCAATACTCAATGAGACAAGCCATTATTTTCGTCACTGAGTACAGGAGGCCTTTGTGAAAAACTTTGAAAAAATGATACGCTGGTCGTGCTTGAACAATCTTTATTTGCTGGAAGTTTAAATTTCATTGGCTTTAGATTTCCGAAGATAACAAAGCTCTTGTGGGCTGACGAAAAGTATGAGGGGAGGTAAAATGAATTTAGTTAAGTCTTTTCCATGTTTCTATCCTCAAACTGCAATGCTGCTTTCTTTTCTTGGTGGTTTAACCGTACCATGTCGTACTTATTACTATATTTTTCACTCACGACAGCTTCATCTTTAAGTACTATCCTACACCCGTTTGCTTATTTTTTGAGCCTTGAAAATAGACTATTTTTCATGCCAATAGGGTGAAACGGTTTACATTTGTGATAGAAGGAATTCTTTTGCACATAAAAACTCGATATCTTTAACTTAAGTTGAATGTCGATGATATCTTTAAAGAAATATCTTATACAACACCTCGCATAATATCTCTTGTTCTACAGTTAGATGGTATCTCGTGGAAAATAAAATAATCATTTTGATTGGAACAAGATTTAAAATTCTGTGATTTTGATAATTTTAGAATTTACTTGGAAAACGTTTTGTGCTTTTGTGATCATTGCTTTTTGTGTAAAAAAGTGTGTACAACTAAATAATTTGTTTCTTCACGAAAAAAGATTTTGATAAAAAAAGTCAGATATAATTTTACCTCGCCGAAAGATCAGTCAAGTACAAACAATTCAAAAACCGATATTAAAGACCACGTTTTTTTCTTTCAGGAAGAAATATGGGATGCAAAGATGAATGCATCAGCTACTTTTGGAACCCAATTTCTAAAAGTGAATTGTTGGCTATTACTTCCTGATTTCACAGATTCTATACAGAATTTGATGCGCTGATATCCTATGTTAAAGACAATGGTTTCACTTCTCCGTTGTAGCATTCTCTGGGGATCCAGCCATAGTGGTCGATTCTTCTTTGTGAAGGTATCTACAGTCTTCAGAAGAGAATTCACAGAGCCCTTGTTTATGTCTTTTGCATGGAAAATCTTTAGTTAATGGATGACTTGACAATTCTTTCCTCTTTGTTTTCTTTCCTTGAAGCTGTTTTCTTTTCTCAGACAATGACTGAAATTTTGTTGATCCTTTGGCCCTGTCATTCAATTATTAGGGGTGGTTATGAATAAATATCACATTATGGACAATGATCATGATGCTGATAATATCGAATATGTTGACGATGGTAAGGTTATACTTAATGAAGATGTTCTCAATGATTATATCGATCATGATTATGATTATGATCGATTACGATAATGAAATTTATGTTGATGATGACAAAGTATGGTTCTTATGACGAAGATCATGATGACAATTATAAAGACTACGATGAAAAAATATAATGACGCTAATTATAATGAATAATATATGACGTTTTAAAAAACCTTTTACGCTCAATAGTTCAATGCCTATTAACAAGCAACATTGTAATTCCAAGAACCAAAGATAAAAACAATTCGAATAAGTGACAAACTAACCTGGCTTTGGGCCCCCAATCAGGCAGTGGGTTTTCTGGGAACCTGGAAATTTTCATTTTTCTTGATTTAGGATTTGCTTCCTCTACCACAACAAACGATGCCTCTATTTTTGGTGGCTTTGACAAAATTGCTGCTGCAGGTGACTGGGCAGTCTTTGTTTTTTCAGAAACCGGGTGCTCCTTCTCCCAGCATCTTAGAATGTCCCAAATTACTAGAAAAAAGGTCATCCTTTTTTAGTCATTGATATAGAAAAGATACTTTTATGACAATCTACAGAGGTTAAACTGTCAAAAATAAAGAGTAGAAAAGTATAGATAAAAACAAAAGTTTTGTTCAAATTGTAAATAGTATTTTCTCCATAGAAAGACAAAAGATCAATTTACATGACTAAAATATTTAACAAAGCGAATCAAAGATGATATCTCAGTCTTTTTGCCGACCAATTAATATACTTCAAAACATATATTTTGGCAAACGAAACAAGATTCTGTCATTGTTTTCGTTTCTATAAATCCGACAGCCCTTTTATCGCAGCTCCTTTTCTGCAATGATTTGCAGATCGTCCCATGATTTCAGCCACAACCTGTCATGGCCGGCGACGGTTTATCTTGAATCTGCTATTATTTTAGATGGATTCGAAAACTTAAAACCAGTCTTTTAAATTCTGAAGTGCCTGACACACACCCTTGTCTCCCTTGATTCTTGTATTATATTAAGATTATATTATAATGTCATCGATTCTAGAGGCACAAAACATGCTCCAATGACCATCTTAATATGGCATTATTACTTTTCCATGAAGAGCGGACGGAGGATTGATCAAAAATTGAATATGAAATCCTGAAAAACCAACCTGAAGGTGGTGCGTCCGTTTTCACCCCATTGCTGTTTGCATGAGTTGAGGAAACCTGGTATCCAAGATTGATCAAAGCCGATCTGAACTGAAGCATTGATGGTACGCAGCAGTGAATCACGTTCGCTAATTTGTCGATAACATAGTACAGTGGCGCGTCTTCCAGTTCCTCAGACACCACCGTCAAAGTTCCTGTAAAAACATTTACTCCGATTTCACATGAAAATTTGCGAAATCTTATTCCCCTATCTAGTCAAAGACATCAAATTATTATGTCTTAGTTCAATCACTGTGGCATCAGATTGTGATTGGGGCAATAGCATTGTCAACAGTGAATTGTCTTGTCTTATGCATGTTAGAATCTGTAAGATATTTGATGGAAGCCCAAATTTATCCATTTTTTGGCTTAAATGATCACATTTATACTGATCACATTATATCAACATGAAGATTTAACTAAGATTTGACATATTCGAAAAAGAAACAGTTAAGAGGACTGCGGTGTCTTTACAAAAGTTCTAATTCTCTTTACGAGCATAGCAAATTAATATGCCCATAACTAGCTAACCTTAAGCTTCATGAATCTTTGAATATATTCAAAAATTTAACTCTGCAATCTAAAATAAAATACCAATACACACCTTTCATTCTTTGCGATGTTCCATATAGTTCATTTTCGTTAGATAACCGTTCGAGCAGAGATTCTACAAATTGTTTGTCATGCATCGGCTCGGACCAAATTGGTCCGCCAATCTGAAACCTCTGGCCACACTCTTTGCAGCTTTCTCCAACAACAGGACCTGTGCCCGGATTGTACTTTTTCTTGTTCCCTTCTTCAATTCTTTTGCCGACTGAAATTAAGATTTCAACAACATGAGAATTTCTATTGCCATTATAGAATTTTACTGTCGTATTTATTAAAAAACAGAACTTTCCTAAATTTTTAAATACAGCCGCAGTTTTTAGACAAAAAAGAAAGGGGCGGCGAGTGGCATATTCAAAATAACAGGGTGGTTTGCAACTCCAAGTTTTATGCTTATTGCAATCACAAGGCAACTGATTATACTAACAAAAATAAATATCTCCCTTGCCCATAAATCATACTTAACTGCTGAATAGATTGTAAAAGTGCTAATAGGGAACTGATGCCAAAACTTGCAAAAATGCAAACAAACCTGGCTGAAGGTGAAAACTGTCACAGCCAACACATTGGAAGACATATGACTTTTTGCTGGCTGATCTCTTTACCTCGCTGGCACTTGTTGTTATCCTGACAAAGACTCTAACGTAGAAGTCAGCACTAACAGAGAGCAGAGGCATCATATACCTTTTATATCTTCCAGCATGGGCTTCAATTGATCCTAAAACAATCCTCAGGGCCTGGAAGGATATAAACAAAACCCAAATCCTACGTAACTTAAAAACACATTAAATATGCCAGTTTGTCTTCAGAGAAAGTGAAATTACTGTCACTAAAACGGTGACGTGTTTAATATTCACAAAAATCAACCAACATCGCTACAAGGAATATGCAAAACACATTGAAAATAAATTTGAAACCAAATGATTTTTTTAAGGACTTTCAGTAAACAAACTTCATAAAAAGGCATCTTGAAGTTAGAAACGGTGTTTATTGATGGTGTGACCCAAGTGCAGGCACCGTGGAGCGTTGAGAAAAATGGGGGTCTAAAAAAGCCCTCCAGCCCCCTTTCTTTGCACTGTCTGAATTTGACATCCTTTGGGTAAGAAGGGATATTCAAATGTAACTTTAAGGTTGTGCTACTAACCATTTCGTGGCAGCACTTTGATTTTAATGGCATTGCACCATATTTTGCAAATGATGCTTCTCCATGATTGCCACAGAGCCCAGCCATGTCAGTGCATGTTATACAAAGAAGGCCACCATCATCAACTGCTTGTACAGCTCCATCAAGAAATGATGCAGGTGAACCATAAGGATCTAAGTCAATTACCTGGAACCTCTTTGAAAGTGGGAACTTGTTTTGGTACATGAGGAGTCTGGAAATATTAAAACAAAGCTATCTGTTAAAGGTGAATAATCATGACTGGTCATGTGTAGTCTAGCAGATGGATGAAAAATTACATGCGTAGTTTAATGAGGAATACGATAGGCAAATAAATTAGCAAACAAGTTTAGAAATAGAACATAGTTTGAAAATATTGTTCAAACTATGTTCAAATTACATATAAAAGAAAAATTACTAATAACTAAGGTATCAAAAAAAAGTTGCAAGGAAAAAAGCTTTCATGGGGAAAAAAGATTTAAACCGTTGTAAAATGGAACAAAGAGATTAACATTTTAATTCTTAAAATTCATGGCCGAATCTGAATAAGCAGGCCTGGTAATTAGAATTTGAGTAGGCGAGCAATATATCGTCCTCCTTCTTGGTGTCAGGTGGGCGATTGTTGCAATACATAAAACTGGTTTGCAAATGCTTTGAAGCATATGTAAAAATAAAACACACAGATTTCGACTAAAAAAGAGGGTTTTAAAAACAGAAAAATAACATTATCAGCAACTAATGACATATTATATTGTTGGATCTACAGTTCTTCATCACAAGAAAATTCGATGCTCTTAACCGATTCTGATTCACTATCAGAAAAAACTTCTTCCACAGATCTTATTTTGCTGGATAAAACGCAATAAAGATAAGTACGAATCTCTTTTAAAAACTCTTAGCAGCTCGTACAAGTCCGTTAAATTTATAAACCTCTCCATTTGCTCCCATTGGCATCTTCGGGCAATCATGTTCTACTTTTACACAACTTCTTCCACACACCTTTGTCCTACATCTACACCTTCCTCGGAACTTGCGAGCTGCACCTTTCTTCTTTTCTCCAAATACATTTGCACGGCTGATATTTTCCCTTGCGTTCCGATTCGAACCAAGTGTTGTCATTTTCCTTTGTAATCATAAGATCTTCCATCGTGCAGTGGTGCATGGTCAATCAACGATCGCTTAGAAGAAGAGTCCACAAACCAAATGCTCTTTCAACTGTTGAATTTGGGCCTGCAATACATGTCAGCAGCTCGATTATGAGAGACAGATTAGGAAATTCCAATCTTCGAAAATTTAAGACACGATACCATAATTTTTTAGGGCCCTTTGTAAAGATAGCAAAACTAAGAAAACGTCTCAATTCAGTGAAAAGATTCTTCTCACTGATACCTGCTGCTGATAGAGAGAGGAACTGAAAATCTTTCTAAAATGCAGCGAAGCTCCAGTATGCCATGATCATTTTCATTCCTCCAATGCTGTGGATTATATATTCTCATTGTTCTGAACAATTCATTTCTTGCTTCCGGGAACCGTGCTTGGAGAAAATAATTCAATTTTTTAACATTTGATCTTTTAGCAGCAGCTGCAAGTGTGCGTGAATCTTTTGAAAAATACATTCCTGAAATTGGGATTTCAACATTTTCTCGATTAGCAGCTTTTCTTCTCCTGTAACCCTCCTTAAGGATGATACCTATCATTTGCTTTGCTTCTTCCCCATTTGTTCGCTTCTTGCTTTGCTTTGAATCTGGCAATATGGCTGTTTAGGAGTTCTTCATCAGTTCCTGCATTCTCTTCCAGACCATCTAGCTCAAACATCTTTTTCTCTATAGATTCTGCAATTTCATAGAGCATGACATCTTCCCCTTCACAAACCAATGATGATTGGCCTTGCAGCATCCAGAATATCCACATAACATTAAAAGTACTTCAACATACCGATACCTCTAGAGACTTTCTTGATTGTAGAGGATATGTGAGTGGACCATTTAATTTGGTCATCAATTGCAAACCAAATTGGGTGACACCCAATGAAAAACGAAATTTTTTTAGATGGAGCAACAGGCTAGATGCAATAGTCGCTAAAACTTGGAATGGATGTAGCCAAAAAAACCAATCATTAAAGAAGTTGATACTGAACAAATTAACAATTTTATGTTGAACATAGTTAGAACTTAGGAAGACAGGAAAAAATTCATTTGAACAGCCTTAAATGTCATTTCTAAAGGTTTTGTAAGTGTTAAGAAAACATTTTCTATAAGTTCTTGATCAACTACATTGTTTTTTTTCAGTTATACCTAAGTGTAATATATTGTTGAAATTCATTTTTCTTGTTTTGTAGAAAATTTTTACTTAATTGTGACTTCGGTTTCTATGAATGTATCTCTTCAGTCATAACTGATTATTTCTTAACAGAAACACACACCAAGCATATTCAAATAGTTTAGATTAAGAATGGCTGCAGGGAATTTTTGATTTGTCATACGATAGACTTTGGTTAAACACTGTTGATGGAAGGTAAACTTCAGATGCAAGGTAATAACATAAGTTTTGAAGAGTTTTCACTATTTTGACCAATATTGGCATCTTTTTTGGACTATTTGGGCTGATTTGGCCTGGCCCAGATAGTGGAAATACTTTAAAACTGTTTGTTTTTATATTCAAGTTATCAGCATACACAAGTAAGAACAGACTCGTTACAAGGCTGTTGCTGACCCCAGAAAAGCAAAATCACATTTTTAGGCCCCTTCAGACCAAAAATGGTTCCTTCCCAACAAAAAATTTTAAAATGTCTACATAAATCAAATGGATTAGATTAAAGCTGGTGTAAAATTGCTTTCAAAGTTACACCCTAACTACTGCCACCCCCTACTATTAGCTGCAAACTGCAAGCCTAAGCATTTGAGCTGCAAGCAGTAATGTTCATATATATAAGACTATTCTACAACATGAGATTGAACATGGTGGGAAATGCCAGGAATGCAGAGTTTTATTTTTTACAGTAAGTTAGTGGGAGGAAAAAGGAAACATAGCTCCCCATTTTTGTATCAGGAATTTATGGTGAAAGACTTACCTCCAGCAACATACCTGAAAAGTTTTAAGATTCAAAGTAAGAATGTAAATTGTGTGTTTACATACAAAGAATTATTGAGTGAGTCAACAGGAATTTAGCATACTTAAATAAACATATTATTCAAAGATGCTTTTATGTAGAGTATGACCAATTTGACAATGACTGCAAGCAACAGCACACAGCAACCTGAGAACCAAGGCATTTCAGCGGCAATCAACTCACTATGGGTATGTATTTTATATGGCTAAAGTATAATATACATGACTTGATTAATAATGTGGGCCTCGTGTAGCTGCAAGCATGTGCAAGTTACCCAGCCTGGCCCTTGAATAAACACCCTTGTTATAACTATATAACTCTAAAGAACCTCTCTTAAATAAACTCTGGATATGATCCAAGTTAAGAAAGGTTTTTTAACCAGCACTATAGTCAAATCAATATAGTATTGCTGTCCACTTACCCTGCGTCATTAAGGCTTGGCTTGATTATGCTGTCAACTTTATTATGCCCTACATTTCGCTCTATATTTTCCACAGCAGCTTTGCTTATATCGTTAGCTACGATCTCTCCAATGCCATCTATTTCCAGTGCATACCTTATCGACCGCAGTCCTGTAGCTGCAAGCCCTTCCATCACACGTATTTTTGGTCTATGAGTAGCTTCCATACCTTCGCTGCTTTGCTGTTCTTGTAACATTTCATTATGAGAGCTTTTCGTATGTCTACTTTGTTTTGTCTTTTCCTTTTCCTCCCATTCTTTGCAATAAATCGAAATGAATTCTTTAATCGCAAGAATGCTCAAATCTCTATTGAACTGCTGCACTGGGTTGTAAAATACTGATTCCGAAGCTGGGTATAGAACTGCTGCCCGTCCTTCTTTAACTTCTACCCAAGTCCTGTCTTCATCATCATTCCTCGTGGCCGCCATTTTCTCTGCTCATATGCCTTATTGAGAACGAGGCGGTTTATTGACCCTTCAGAAAATCAGAATAGACAAAACTAATCTTCAAAAATTTGTGACACAACAGTACCTACAGACGTTTTGTCCGGGTTTTGTTATATCAGGCCTGTCGGAACCTGGGAGGGCTGCCCCCCCAATAATTGTCAAACTGTAGTATGTTTCCTTTATAACAGTGTAGTGAATGAGAAGGAAAACAATGGGCAGCCCCCCCCCCCAATATGAATTTCGTTCCGACGGCACTGTATATCCTTAAAATTTTACCGTATGAGGGTACCTTTTCGATGAAGTAATACTCTTCAAGTAATTTTTTGAACAATTAGATATTTCATTTTTTACCAATAATTCGTCAAGTTTAGATAAAGAATTACCATCTGTGGGAAACTCGCACAAAGTTTTAAGTACACCCAAGATCATTGTTCAGATTTAGGTACTCAAAAAACTTTTCATTTTCCACTACGTGAGACTTAATAGGCCCCCTCCCCAGAATTTAAGTACCAAAGGGGGGTCTTAAATCGAGGGAATATCTTGACCATATTCTTCAAATTTGTTATCAACAGATATGCCTGGGAGTAGTTGGTGTTTTGTCTGACATTTCCCACACAGAGTGTAGTTGATCCATGCTTGCACATTTGCCTTTTTTGTCAATCAGAAAATACTCTACTATTTTTTACATTTGACTTGAAAACGAATATCTCGCACTCATAAAGGAAATTGGTTTTTGCTCAAGAGAGAAATCGATATGATGATATAGTGAATGATTTTTCTATGCTTGGCCATATATTAGAGCGAAGGGGAAATGAAAACCCATAAATATGCTAGAGACAGTGGGTATTTGAAAAGCTTTGCTGTAGCCTTGACCCAAGACAAAAACACCTGTTAGGTAAGGTATCTATAGGCTATAGGTAGATTTATTTAAAAGGTAAAAGCAAGGATCAAATGTTAGGGAGTCTACACCACACCTTTAGCCAAATGAGGATTACATTAACTAATCCCTCCAGATATTTTTCACCTCAAGGCAACAAAACGCACTTTCAAATCAGTGGTGAAGTGCTATCAAAATAACAAGGGGGGCTCTTGCACAAAATGTTGCTAGAAACAATAGAAAATAGCTCAGCCTCTGAGCCCTATAGCACTACGCCCCGCTTCAAATATTGTTCATAGTTTATGGCTACATTGAGTATAATACCAATCATAGCAGTTAATTTACCCAAAATTAAAGAAAAGAGGCTTGTAATAATATGAAAGGCCCCTTCAGACGTCCTGTGTCAGACACAGTGTATCTCTAGGTCCAATGTCCCTAAAGGATTGTAGACGTG